CACTCGCTCGGTCTTGGTCGCTCCACTCTCTCGCCGAATCATCCCCCACATTTCACTACATATTGCTCATTTGGTGCCCCCTCTTTTTGAAATTCTTGGATCCGCCCCTGGTACTACCAGTAGTAGCATCCCACAACCGCACAAGCAGGACAGGAAGGCAAATCAAATTCAACAGCAGATTTGCCGACTTCTGGGCATAAAGTCTGTACTCTTCAATTATTTGCCTCTAACAAGCATGACATTAAGGTGTATTTATTGCTTACCTAATAAATAGTGTGCATGAATAAAGGTTAATAAATGTTGTGTATTGGACTATTAATTGGTTACTGTTTGCTTATGTATTATTCGGGTGCTGGCTGCAGGTTAAATAGTATTCCAGATGCCAGCCCAAAATTATGGAGTATTCCAGATGCCACTGAAAATTAGAGAGTATTCCGGATGCCAAAGGGGGGGGGCATGGACCCCCTCATAATATAAGTGCCTTCGGGGATAAACCCGGCCAATAAATAACAGAGTGGCTATCAGTATATGCCCGGCAGCCGGCATATATATCTGACGGCTGCCGCGGGCACGGTCTTCGATTTCCTAAATGCACGGCAGTTTTCAATTTTCAGCGTTACCTCAAGTAAACAAGGGTTAGGGTAACCCGGTTAGGGTTAGGAACTGCCGGGCATTTAGGAAATCGAAGACCGTGCCCGGCTGCCGGGCATATAACCACAGCGAATAAATAAACAGGTGCATATAATGACCATATATATTATACATACCGACGACATCGTAATCCGCCGCTTGAGAACAATATTATTAATTTGGGCCTAGTAGTAGAATAACACAGAGATTACCGCGGCAGAGTCGGCAACAAAATTTCACTCAGCAGAATGGTGGCAAAAAAATGAAATGCCGCCACTTTCCAGGTAGCATGGGATGTTAGCATTCAGTGCGTAAATTCATGTTCGCACGGTTACTCCATAGAAGTTCTCTCCGCGGTACTTTCCAGACCAACACAATGCACAAATCTAGGGATTTGCAGTTTGCTTTGGTTTGCACCCCCTAGTAGGTAGGCAACAAGTGAACGCTGGTTTGTAGCGTCAAGGCCACTTTGATCAAGGTCAATCGCAAAACCAGTCAAATCATAATAGTGAGCTAACGCCGGGCTATCATGCCGTGCATTAATTCGTATGTTCGGGTCCCGAGGGGAGGGGGCACTCACCCTACACTGAGAAGTCAAAAATGGGGGGGCTCTGGAACTAACTTAGACCTGAAAATGGGGGTCTCTGGAACTAATGTTTGTTGAATGTGGGATGCTCTGGAACTGGCTAAATTCGAAAGTTGTGATTTGTGGTGCGCACATACGCAATACGCACACATTTCACAGCGGCAATAAAACCATAGATATATATATCAGGAGTAGATAATAGGGAATTCCCTATTATCTACTTCTGATATATATAGAATGAAGATCTATGATAAAACACACGCACGGAGTTTATCATCGGATGTAAATAAACAAGAACAGCAGCACGGAAACTAGGGTCTCCGGAACGGGAAAAGGGTAAGATCTGCATGGTAACTCAACTTGTGATGCTCTGGAACGAGATATTCTTAAAAATGCGATGCACTATAGCTGTCCAGCGGTACACAACTAACCCGACCGTGCAGGCTGTGTGACTAACGTCAATATACGTCGTATTCTAACCCTAGCAATACCGTTTCTTGGAGCTTGTACACAACATGAAAAAAATCACCTGTGCTTACGTGTAGCATGGCGAAGCATTCGCTGAAAGAGAAAAATAGGAAAGAAGAGGAAGAGCAATATGAGAAAGAAAAGAAAGAAGAAGTGGGATATCGAAGAAGTAGGGGAGAGACGAGGAGGGAAATGAGGAAATGAATGAAGGGAATAGGGTGGTGGAGAAAAAGAAGAAAAGGTAGGCTAGTATACTAGTGGAAGAAGAAGAAGAAGAGGGGCAGGATCGAGGAGGAGTAGGTGTAGGAGGAGTAGGAGCATGAAAATGAGAAGGAGAAGGGGGAGAATGTATAGGAGAAAGAGGAGTGGGAGCTAGAAGAGGGAGGAAAGTAAGCCGAAGAAAAATAAGTACATATCGCAAGAAAGATCGAGCTTACAATGTTATCTCAGTTACAATGTTACAAATGTTACAATGTTACAATGTTACAATGTTACAATGTTACAATGTTACAATGTTATCTATGTTATCTATGTTATCTATGTTATCTATGTTACAAATGTTATCTATTTTACAAATATTAATCGCAGAACTCCGAGTAACCCTGACAAATAGCTGCTACCTCAACTAATTGGCATGCAAACGTTTAATTAGTCTTTGCATCTAACATGATTCGCAAAAGTAGTGCTAATTAACTCTACTTAATTGGTGCAACAATTGATGTACCATATAGTTTTATTGATTATAAATTAAGGCGAGATAAAAATCTTGCCTCCCGGGCCAACATTATTAGGCCTACATAAGTATATTTTTCACAAAGGTAAAACGCTTGTCGGGGGCGGATCCAAATGAGAGTCCAGCGGCGCGGGCCACCTTTTTGCGATAGGGGTTTTCCGGCGCGGAACATATTTTTTCAGTATGTGGCAAATATTTGTTTCAGTTTGAAATCGACTAGAATGTAACCGTAAATCCGTAAAATAATCTGTGGAGTACCGCCCCTCCCCCGCTCCACATTCACCTGACCCGGCCCTTCCCTTCCAGAATTCCTCGCTGGATCCGCCACGTTCTTCTCTAACTGAATCGGGTGCAGTGGCGGATCCAAGGGGGGCGCAAGAGGCGCGCCCCCTTATTTTTTGTCCACCCCCTATTCGGCACGCCAAGCGCACGCACCGGCGCTATCACAAAATCCGCACCTCCTAAAATGAAATCCTGGCTGTAGACGGGGCGGTTGCGCCCCCCCCACCCGATCTCAAAATCCAAGATCTGATCACGTCACGCTCGATCTCTCTGCTGCGTGATCCATTTACTCGAGAAAAACCTCGCATGCTTCCGCGCCTTTTGATTGGTCTGCAAACTAACGCTGAGAAATGCAAAGACTCCGTGGAATACACGTTAGCAAAGCGCTGGCATTTAAATGCAACATTTGCCGAATGTATAGAGTTGAAATCCTATTTGTTACCTAGCTGCTACCTGGACAGGAGTATCATCATATCAGAAAATATTGATATATATTTGCGATGATGATGCTCCAGATATAATGTTGTATATCATCGAAACGAATAATTATTGTGCCAGTGAGGACAACGTGCTTTCGTTACCTAGATAGCTCTGTCGACGGTCAGCATGTTTTGTGGATGCTTGAGGCGAAACGGTGACTGATGTTCAGAAAGAGCGGTTTTCACGTGGCAAACGTTGCCCGGAGCATACACCGGGAAGACATCGAGTTCGATTCTTTTTTATTTCTATTCTATCCCCTCTATCTAAACATTTTATTACATATATAGAAACAGAAGCTCATATATCTATACTAAGTTTTTTTTAATCTGTAATAACGTGTTTAAAAAAATTAACTATAATCTGGTTCTAGCGCGGTTGCAATGGACAAAATGACTATTCTAGCCTAACCTGTCTTATTGATTAAACATATACCTGGCGCTTCAGCATATCTTCTTGTGTAGCCAGTGACAGGTGGCGATTGATGAAATAACAAGTTTCTAACTACTCCGGTGGTAAATCGTTCAGGATTTGCGGTCATTGGTCGACCTTGTCTTTATTATAGTGTTGTGCAGCTAGGTATTGCAGCCCTGAGGTTACGTCGAATAATTGTTTAATAATTTTACTATATTATTACGTGATATATTTTTAAGATTTATTTTTGGGATTACGTTAATTCATCGTATATGCCAGTATATTATATGTACTTATAATACTCTACATAAAACAAAAATATTAGTTGACATATAGTCACGCACACACTCATGCACACACGTACGCCCCCCATGCACGTACGGACGCACGTCCATACATAAATCAGTTAGTTTGTATCGAATAAAACAACTCAACTGTAAAATCTTTTGAATTAACTATCTGTTTATTGGCAAATTATAGCGACTGTCGCCTGTAACAACTAAAATTGTACTACATAATTTATGCGGTTATATGCAATTAAGGATGTGGGAATAACAGGAAAAGCTATATTTTTTCCCGAGAATGCAGCAGCAGGTAGATATCCTTACATTACGGTCCATAAAATCTAGAACCTATATTCGCTAGCGCGCTAAAACTTGAAAATGGAGTTGAAGACACCGGCACAATGTCATAGCTCACCGTGCAAAGATACATAGCTGTTCCATTAATTTTCCCGGCTGACGTCCCGGGAATTCAGGGAGCAATAAACAGCCTTGAAACAGACGCCTGGGAACGGCGCAATAAACAGACAAATTTGCCCGACAACAGCGCATGATAACTAACTGGTATACCAACTCCTAGTGCGAACCAAGCGTCAACGAGTATGGGATTATCGGTCGGCCTTGACCTGGGTCCATCTTCCAGGCCTAAACAGATTATTATATACCCCATGTAGAAACCGCGCTAAGAAATATATTCGTGCTAAATGTACATAGGTAAAGGATCGTAAGACGATCTCCCACAGATACGAGGGGAGTGCTTAGGTTTAGAGCTATCGAGAGATGAGTATCGCATTAAGACTATGTTACATATACAACGCAACGTAATCTACAATGTACGATCAAACCAAATCAGGAGCACTATTGGCTCTACGCATAAAGCAACACTTTGCTCTGCTCACCAGTAAAGCGCTATTAATAAACAGTAATTTCAGAAAATAAGCGTGTATTGATTATTATTCGATACGTATAGCGTAGGGATGACGTAATTCAACGCTATTGTGAAGTTGGTATTTGACCTGCGATTATCGATGAACAGGGAATTAAAATACGCAAGTAAGTTCTCGGTGCGTCATTAGGAGATCACACTGATAAGGATTATGTGAATAATGACACGGATAAACTCTGCGCGTAAAGCCATAAAGATGCTATCAGCGTATAGCATTGCATAGACAGTGACTATGTCCTGCGAGTGTCTGTGTGCGCGTGCGAGAGCGGCTATGCCTGTGTGTGCATGTTCGTGTTCAAGTACACGTGCGTGTGTGTGTCTGTATGTGTATGTGCGCGCGCGTGTGTGTGCGTATGTGTGTGCCTGCGTGCGTGCGTGTGGGTGCGAAGTGTGTGTGTTCTGTGTGTGGTGGTGTGTGTGCTGTATGTGTGTTGTGCTGCCCGAATGTGTGTGTGTGTGTGTGTGTGTGTGTGTGTGTGTGTGTGGTGTGTGTGTGTGTGTGTGTGTGCAAGGCGGTAGACTTCGGCGGAGGGAGAGGAAAGTTCGCCCCTATATTGTGGTGAAAAACAAAATGTCTAACAAACGCATATACTACAAAATACGTGTAATATAAATAATAGCACAAAATAATTTCTTAACCCTTATCTTATCTTAAGAGTGGTTGTCTTCTTAAATGCTAAAAATGTAATTTTTTCGACATTTTACTAGTAAGTCACAAACATCTGCGTGTGTGTGAATGCATATGTGCTTGTGTGTGCATGTGTTTCCGTGGGTATGCGCGCGTATCTGCATGCATAACGACGTTATTGTGTGTGCTTGTATATGTGTGTGTGCGCGCGCATGTGGGCGCGCGTGTGCATGCATGGAGTGATTACTGTGTTTGAAATATACCATCATGAAATCGTAATATACTAGAATTAGCAACACTCACGTGTTTGATCTGATTAAGTCCGACAATCCTGAGGGAATCTCCATTTACCTTACTTTTCCCTCAGTATGGCAGGTTTGGCGCAGACTTCATCTGCTCACGTATATGTAAAACAAATTCATCCATTTACCCCAACCTAAGAAACGCTTACTACACAGAATCGTAGAATCGTTAGAACCGTTTTTGTCTGAATATTGTTTATTGTTTGTTTCTTTGTTACGAATCTATCCTTAGAAACAAGTAAATATATGTGGCTGAATTTGCTCTCAAAGTTGTTTCTACGCGTTTTTTCCCGAGCAACGCCGGGTACCCGGCTAGTGTGCAACAATAATCTGCAATTAACCTTGAACTAAAATCCAAGCGAGCAGTGATAGTTAGTCATAAATCAGAATCGGAGCAGCAGGCATTCTTTGAAAAACAACAAAGGCCACAAGACAAAACTAGTCTGAGGACCTGTCACACAATGGTGTGCCTATTTTTTGTTATCGATTAACTGACGAAAATACCTGTTCAGAAGACAAAAATCCTAACCTGGATTATTCCAGTTTCTCGCATGAGAAATAGGTCACCATATCGTATATAAGAGGCAGGCAGCTAGGAATCATCCTCACTGTCCACTGCTTGGGGAGGAAGAAGACAGAAACCGAAGCCTCATCTTTACAAATTTGGTAAGACGCTTTATCTTATACGCTTTCGACATTTGTATGCATTTTTCTATATGACTAAGCTCATATGTACAATCACAGCTGCACAGTTCCTGTGCATAATATCAGGAGTGTATCAATAATATTGATACACTCCTGATAATATGTGTGCGTTTGTGCGTACGAGTATGCATATGCGTGGCCGCGCGTATCTCTGTGTGCGCGCGCGTGTGTGTGTGTGTGGGTGCGCGCGCATGTGCGTGCGTGCGCGTGTGTATGTACTCTATGTGTGGTTGAATTGTACTATAACTCAAACTTCCCCGTTTGCTCATACTATAACTGATTACAGTTTCGTTTGTATAATGTCATTACATTGCCTACTTTGCAATATCCCAATATCTAAAACCTCTACGAGAAACGGTGGTTATCTTAATATATATATATTTATTTATTTATTTATTTATTTATATATACTGCACTGCACTCACGTGCGGACGCGCAGCAAACGTGAACTCATGTTACCTGTGCTAATGGTGTGGTTTCTTGCCACTATTTTGCTTGAAGGCACAAAGTTGTAACCGCATTCAGCAGCGCAACCTTGTGTATATGACCTAGAATTTCATTCATAAATTTTAGGCTTGCTTGCTATGTACTTTCAGGTGCCTGGCCGCGAATAGTAACCGCTATTTTGAAAATTAGAAAAGTTTTATTTAGTAGGTTTGTTGCGATCTAATGACAAGCGGGTACTTTTTTACTTTAGAAATTAGAACTTGAAAATTAATCGAATCGAGAATAGGAGTAGATTAATAGGGCTAACTCCTAATCGGAGGCTACGGCTCTGCTATCCGATGATTTTATTTTCGTATATCTGTATTTAAACGTACTGGCATACAGGACCTAACCAATTTTTGTTATACTATAGGTTATAGAAAATATATTGTTATTTTCACGTTTTGTAATTTTCACAGGGCATCATGCATCTGATTCTCCTAGCTACGCTGGTGCTAGCGGTCACCGCTGTGCCGCTCACGGACCGTGTGCGTTTCCAGCAGCACCAGAAGGTCTTTGATTATCAGGTACCGTTCTACAACGAAGGTCTTCAAGAGGGCCGCGATTCTCTCAAGGATAACATTATTCAGGGCATATTCGGTGGTAACCAGCAGGGGAGCCTAGAGGAGGGTGGCTATTCGCAGGACAACTTCCACTTCCAGAAGAAAGAGTTCGAAAGGTATGTATTAATTATTGAACTTTAATATTAATAAAACTGACAAGTAACTATTTTGGCTAATGACATTTTATGACGAAATGCAAGAAGGTACAATAGGAGACACAACGCAACTATGCGCACACAAGCGCATTCTAACGATGTAGTCGATCTTGGGCATTTATACGTATTTAGATATGTATCTTAAATTATTGCAGGTATCTCAATGGAAGAGATTTCGAGAGACTGAGAGATAGCCACGTTTTAGGACGTTTCTTCTCAAGTGATTCTCTGCAAAAGTATTATCCCTCTGAGAACTTCGTTCAGTTTTTCCGTGATCCCAACTTTGTGAGAAGCTACGACTTCCAAAGCGAATACTTCGTCGACTATGTCACAAGCCCTGAGCTGAGAAAGCAAGTATAATTTTATTAATTTGCCGGTATCTTTTCTTCCTCCCCCTTCTCTCTCTCTCACTCACACACACGCACGAACGCACGCACGCACGCACGCACGCACGCACGCACGCACACACACACACACACACACACACACATACACACACACACACGCGCGCGCGCGCGGATCCAGGATTTAAAGAAAAGGGGTGCGCCTTGCGAGTAATGTGTCTGTGAAGCCCGTGGCGGTAGAATCCTGTAGCCCTTCCCTAGGAATTTAAAAAAATCATCGTCCTGTACGTATTGATCAAAGCAGTTGGTAATTCTGCCTCCCTCCGTGTGTTAGCTGAGCCATTGCCTTACTTATTTTTGAAATGTGTCTATAGGTATGTCGAACTACCGGAATTCCAGGAATTCCTGCAACACCCTCTGTTCAGACATTACTACACGAGTGACTACTTCTGGCAGCACGTAGGAAATAGCCACTTTAACGAGCACTACCAAGACCATGAGCTCAGACAATACTTCCAGGACTTCTTCAACCAAGTGTTGCCCGTTCTCAACCTGCAGGGAGGAGACTTTGTCCAACGCGACTGTACGTTTACACATTTTTCTTTTACAATATGCAACCGAGTGTGTTTCCATTGTTCTCAACAACTTTAATAATGACTTTCTGTTACGGAGATTAGCGAATTTGTCTTGAATCCGTTAACGAGTATTATTACGCGTATTATCACCACGCACAGAAAGCTAACTCAAAGCAACTTCGAAACAACAGCGATGAGTTTATTGTACCCGAATTAATTTTTCAGCCGTCAGTGAACATCACGAGCAGTACCTTCGCTACTTCATCTTGTACGTTCTGCACGACCCATATTTCTACTACCACGTGCACCATTACGGCCGCCAGCACCCTGTTTACCAACAGTACTTCGAGAACGTTGACCACCTTGACGAAGTCTTCCAATGGTTCCACGACCATGTTGGAACACCGAGCGTTGGCTATTCAGAAGTTCAGGAAAGGAATCAACTAGTTGACCAGCAGAGAGGATACGAATATAATACCGACACGTACGGAGATGACTCTACCCAGGGCAAGGGTGACTACTTCCAGAACTCCTATGGCCAGGACACTATCAACACCCAGGAAGAGTCAGGCCGCCTATACATCTCTCCAGTTGTCAGGAGGTACCTCCAGACACACCCCTACCTGAGGAGTTACATCCTAAAGGGATACTTGCCATCTCATATTAGGAGTCAGATCTTCTCGGATCTCCAAGGCAAGGTTAGACCATACCTACTGCAGGTATTCCGTAACAGCTACCTGCCCCAGCACGTGAGAGAGGTAATCCTTAGGACCGTGTACAACCAACGCCAGGGAGGAGAGCAGTACCAGCACGATAGCAACACCCCGGATTATGGATATAATACCGACACGTACGGAGATGGCTATACCCAGGGCAGGGACGACTACTTCAAGAACACCTATGACCAGGACACTATCAGCACCCAGGAAGAGTCAGGCCGCCTATACATCTCTCCAGTTGTCAGGAGGTACCTCCAGACACACTCCTACCTGAAGAGTTACATCTTGAAAGGATACTTGCCATCTCATATTAGGAGTCAGATCTTCTCGGATCTTCAAGGCAAGGTTAAACCATACCTACTCCAGGTATTCCGTAACAGCTACCTGCCCCAACACGTGAGAGAGGTGATTCTTAGGACCGTGTACAACCAACGCCAGGGAGGAGAGCAGTACCAGTACGATAGCAACACCCCTGATTATGATTATAATACGACACGTAAGGCAGATGACTTACCCAGGGCAGGGGCTTGACTCAACTTCCAGAAACACCTATGACCAGGACACTATCAACACCAGGAGAGTCAGGCCGCCTATACATCTCTCTCAGTTTCTCAGGAGGTACTCCAGACACACCCCTACCTGAGGAGTTACATCCTGAAGGGGATACTTACCAATCTCATATTGAAGGAATGCAGATTCTTCTTAGATCCTCCAAGCGCAAGGTTTAGACGCGATATCTATCTCCAGGTATTCCGTAACACAACACGTGAGAGAGGTGATTCTTAGGACCGTGTACAACCAACGCCAGGGAGGAGAGCAGTACCAGTACGATAGCAACACCCCTGATTATGGATATAATACCGACACGTACGGAGATGACTCTACCCAGGGCAGGGGTGACTACTTCCAGAACACCTATGACCAGGACACTATCAACACCCAGGAAGAGTCAGGCCGCCTATACATCTCTCAAGTTCTCAGGAGGTACCTCCAGACACACCCCTACCTGAGGAGTTACATCCTGAAGGGATACTTACCATCTCATATTAGGAATCAGATCTTCTCAGATCTCCAAGGCAAGGTTAGACCATATCTACTCCAGGTATTCCGTAACAGCTATCTGCCCCAACACGTGAGAGAGGTGATCCTTAGGACCGTGTACAACCAACGCCAGGGAGGAGAGCAGTACCAGTACGATAGCAACACCCCGTATTATGGATATAATACCGACACGTACGGAGATGGCTCTACCCAGGGCAGGAGTGACTACTTCCAGAACACCTATGACCAGAACACTATCAACACCCAGGAAGAGTTAGGCCGCTTCTATCTCTCTCCAGTTCTCAGGAGGTACCTCCAGACACACCCCTACCTGAGGAATTACATCCTGAAGGGATACTTGCCATCTCATATTAGGAATCAGATCTTCTCGGATCTCCAAGGCAAGGTTAGACCATACCTACTCCAGGTATTCCATAACAGCTACCTGCCACAGCACGTGAGAGAGGGGATCCTTAGGACCGTGTACAACCAACGCCAGGGAGGAGAGCAGTACCAGTACGATAACAACACCCAGTATTATGGATATAATACCGACAAGTACGGAGATGATTACAGCAACGACTATGGCCGGTATGGACAAGGAAATAACAATAATAATGTTCAAACCTATGGCCGTTACTACAAATATGATAACACGCGCAGGCAGTAGATCTACTATGCTAAGCCAGTTGGCATTACGTGCAGATTATACCGCGACTCTAGTTTTGACATAATGATTCCAAATGATTACGGCGTTATTAAATCATTACTTGCCGAGTGTTAGAAACCAAATTGTAACTAGCCTAGGTAAGTCAATACAGACCACAGTCATGGCCTGTTCCCATCTCTAAATGGTGGATTGTACTTCGTGACCAAAAATCATTAGAAAGGAGTTTAGGATGCTGTAATTAATTATTGACATTTAAGGAAGAATTTTCGACCTATTAGTCAATGCTGAAACGTAGTGTGATACCAACAACACTTGTTGGATCGATATAATTGAAACTAATAAGGATTGTAGGTAGAATCCGTATATTATAACTACTAAAGTTCTTCAACAAATATTGTAAGGCTAACAAAATGGATTTCTATAATATAAATAAAGTTTGATGCATGTAACACGCTCGTTATAGAATTATTGGAAATCAAGTTCATATTTATTTAATTCTACGAGATTGATAGTTAATTATTTAGACTGCTCTGAGAAAAAATCGGAGAAATGCAAGTATTGAGCAGTTAAAATATAAAATTTCTAAACATTAATTTCTAAATAATAAAATTTCTGAGTGAAACAGTACAAAACAGCGCTATACAACATGAAGGAAAAATATTACAAAAAAAAACAAGAAAAAAAACGTCAGTACATTCTGTACAATTAAAGTGATTAAGATATACTTTAACATCAATTCGACACTCATACGTACACCATTATAAACACATGTAGGCCCTATACATACACACTATTGTACACATATAATTACACCCCTGGCGCAGCCACTAGCCGGGGGTTCGGGGGTTCGGACGACCCCCCCCCCCGCGCGATCGGGAGTTCCGCTCAAATATATATAAAAATTCAACCCTAGAGGCTATAAAGCCAGCTCGAGCCAGCGAGCTGATAGACTGGTCCGCGCTCGACAGTTCCACTCGCGTTACACTGATGTCGCGTGGAACTGTCGAGCGCGGACCAGTCTACTACAAAGATGCGACGGAACGTCTAGGTTTTTCATCTATATTTTTCTTCAATAACATCGTACTTCAATTCACAGGTGCCTTTCTGTTCATAGAAACATTTATATATATCATTGTGCTCATTTGGAATATTGTTCAATGTTGTGTTAATGCAGAAAGTAAAAAAGCACGACTGTTGACATTTTTCACGTACTTCTCAATGGCGCGCCGAGGCAATGTCATACCGCTTGCACTTTTACCTCAATATGGCGGCGGGACTTTCCGATCTGGCTTATCCCAAATACCGGTGGTGGTTAGACAAATTAACAAAATTAGCAACTATGAAAAGTTTCGTCGATCCTCATTATCGATTGCTTCGCAGCACACATTCATTCGCGGTGCAGTAGCCATACTATTATTTTACTGGGTGGATATAAACATGTACGTACACAAGTCCAGTTCGGGTGACAAATTCTGCATAATTAATTAAAGCAAAGGTCAACAGATCGCAGACATTAACGAACAAACCATACGAGGCCTGTGTGGGACACATTGTCACAATGTAGCAATTAATCCTCGAAATGGTCCGATTACGAGACTCCGCACAAACATGAGTGTCAGAAGCAAGAGTTTTTACACTGCCAGATTAGTAGGTCCTACAAAATATAGTCCTGTAACACCCCTAATTGTCTACGCTTCTAATATCACATTGAAAACTAGTTCCCAGAAACTCATTAAGACTCATGAATTACATGATAATTATCCAGTACACGTACATATGTATTATTCCCGCAGTATTGTAAGAATAAAGTGAGAAATAATTAATTTAGCATTGTGTAAAGTTTTTTTATTTCTATAAAATTAACCGTTTCAACCCGGGTCAAAGTGACAGTCACTAGATTAGTTTAAATCTTTGATTTAAACTTTTACAAATCAATGACAGCTAAATTGAGATTTAGAGATTTAAACTGATTTTTCTCGTGGAATCGGGTCCAGACGTCGGTTTTGTGGCGAGAAGTTACTCAAAAAACATTAGTTCATGCCTAAAAATACTATTTCAAAGTGCTGGAAACCATATAAAATCTTTGGGGGAGGCCTCCCAGTCCCCTAGTATATAGCTGCTAACGGCGCTAGCGCGCTGGCATTTCCTATGTTTCGATAGTATAAAGTTCCACTGCTGTGGTAATATGAACCCCCCCCCCCAACAAACACACGCACTTTTTAGCTGGCTACGCCCCTGCACACACACACAGGCACACACACACACACCACACAACCACACACACACAAAAACACACACCACACACATCACACACACATACCCACGTCCGGCCACCCACCCAACACACACGCACGCACGCACACACACACACACACACACACACACACACACACACACACACACACACACACACACACACACACACACACACACACACACACACACACACACACACACACACACACACACACACACACACACACACACACACACACACACACACACACACACACACACACACACATGAACATCAAGTGCATTTTTCATAATGACGACTGACAGCTGTCAAAGGAAAAGATTAACGTCGTTATGAATATAATTCTCCAGGCTGAAAACAGGATCGAATTTCAAAATCAGTAAGAACTTTGAGTTACCGAAGAATGTCGTCAAAATATTATTAGGATTAACATTTTCCACAATTATAGTATCTATCGATGGATTTTGTCATAGAAGTTAATAAAATTCTATAAATTTATATAATGAAAAAGGAAAAGATTAAATATCCTACTAATGCAAATTGCTAATTAATGAAATTTAAAATTACAAATAATGATCATCTATATTATATAATAAACGATCCTACATTATATGATTTTCAGTTATCGCCGGGATTAGATCACCAGATTAGTACCATAGGTTCATATTCCGTTTCATAGGTCCGTGACTACCGTATAGTATACCAAATTACCAATCATAAGTTATTAGGCAGGGCTCCATAATAAAAATTACGATAATTTCTTGGGACAGCGCCTGATCGAAATCAAACTTTATAATGACGCCTTCATCGTGCAAACTCTGTGTAAATAAAAAAGCGTTTTTCAAAGTCTATATATAAGGAATTAGCCTGCGAACAGCCTGGTTGTCGTAACAGGACCCTGGGAAGGACCCTGGAAATCGTATATCTGGGTCGTTTCCGCCGCAGAAACTTATTCGGCAGCAGCCTCGCCACCAAGGACAAGGAGCTGGGACCGATAGCCACAACTGAAGCAGTGCATCATTGAAATAAAAAAAAACAGGCATGCACGCACGTACGGACGCGCGCGCACACACACAAACACACACACACACACACACACACACACACACACACACGCGCGCGCGCGCGCGCACACACACACACATACACACGAATACTAATACAGACAACAGGCAGATATGCAAGCATTTTTTAAATGACAAATCGTAGGTGTCAAAAGGAAAGAATGAAATAAATTCGTATAGCATTCTGCCGAGTGAAAACGTGTTTGCGATTCAAAATCAAAAAGAACTTTGATCGCTGAATGTCATCAAAATAGGAATCGATTTAAAATTTCCAAATAAAGTGAATAAAGTAATAACCGCAAAGGTTAATGCACATCTACATTGATAATAAATAAGTTTCCCGATTAATGACAGTTATGTCATTCGTGTCAGACTGCTAGACATGTACTCCCTTCGAATATTCATCGTCATGATTAGGTCGCCATTCTTTATTTTCTGCAAACATAACACCAAAGCAACTTTATAGTATTCAATCCCAGTTAACATCATTGGCGTCCGCAAATTAAAATCACCTCCAGACTAAATATATACAGGCGTCTTGCTCGAACGTCATTTAAATACACTTTATATTAGCATCAGCATCGTGCGATCTCTCTATCGCAGGGCTTACATAACACCACAAAGTCTACATATAGAAAATATACCCGGCGTAGACCCTTCCTTAATTATACGTCCCTAGGAAGGTGGGAACATAATTGACTGGCAGGTTCCAGCTAGGTTTGATGACAATCGAGCCATATCCGCCGCAGGAATCTTTTTGTGATGTCAATAGCCTTTGCCATCAAGGACAAGGAGCAAGGACGGGTACCAATAAGCACTAACACTAACATCGAATCGAAAAAACACGCACTCCTAATCAGGAGCTTTCCCGTTTATTATCTCACCCCTGGGCACTAGCTGACACGGTTAAGCAGGTCGTTGGATAGTATATAAGGAACATGATCTGATAGAATCGTTACTGTTGTCTGCTTGAAGGAGTCACTTGTTAATACCAAGGAAGCAGAGGTCCCGAGTGTTGCGTACACACACGTGAGTATGGCAATTTTACTTGGGAATTTTGTTACGATGCTGAGTCAAATTATTAGCGGGATATTGTTTTCACACGCATTGAGTGCAATTTTTGTTAACAAACCAACTTTAACTCTTCTAGTTCGATCAAAGTGACGTATATAATAGCATAAACTCATGTATTCCTTGTAAATAGGATTATTTAATGTATATTCGTAAATGCTGCTACTCAAATATAAGAAGATTGGAAACATAATATATGTTCGTTTTTCTCTGGGGCGATTGTTCGTATAAAACTAATGCGTGAAGAAATGTTTGCATTATCTTAACTGCTCATGGATACATATGTCGTCATATGTCTAATTATTGTAATCAATCAACTATTATTGGTAAAGTCGCAGACAGCCGACTTGGTTGCTTTTGCTCTATCATGGTCTCTTCTCACAGTTTTCACGTTTTTTTATTATCGAAATTTACATTGAGAGTTTGCTTTGAAATATTCGTGCGCACATGCAAATAGCGGTACTTGAGTGCCACGTCAATAGTCCGTTAACGTATGCGTGACGCGGTCACTACAATGACAAAGATTGAACACCTTCGTTTGTTCGGATACTATGCATTTAATCACCTACATTTCGCTAGTGCTAGCAGTCACCGCTGTGCAAGGCAACGAACCGTGTGTGGAATAATGTCCTGTTGCTCTTTATGGCATTTATTCTGTAGAAGAGTGTTGAGTTGTTCACATATATTATAATTTATTTTAAATTTAATATGATTTTAAGATGTCTTAAACTTTGCAGGGCATCATGCATCTGATTCTCCTAGCTACGCTGGTTGTAGCGGTCACCGCTGTGCCGCTCACGGACCGTGTGCGCTGGCGACAACACCATAACGTCTACGACTACGATATGCCGATATTGGACCCAGAGCCGCAGTACACTATCGACGATGACACCACTGACCTGATGAGTAAGACGCAGGACATGAACAGATTTCATTACGATGATACGGAGTTCAAAAAGTAAGTATGATTCAATGCATATAAGACATGCGTCTAAACAGAGGAATTGCTCCGACTTGTGATTGGAGGATAAAAATAGAATTCGCGACGTTTCGTTCTCATTTTGGCATTTAGCCTATGACTCGAGTATGAGCGATACCGCGTGTACATATTTGCTAATTAATTAAGCTAATCGCCCTTCTTTAAACCAAAGAGCTTATAATGATCATTATAAGCTTTTTGATTGAACTCAAGACTCACAGGGATCATAGCTAAGACATGTGTCTATAATAGCTAGAATTTAAAGCAATGTAACTCAAATCGTTCGCGCCATATGATAGTTAGTAGTTAGTACACTTTTCTACGGGCCATAGCCGCGCGTATATTAGCCTATGAGCGATACCGCGCGTGCTTAATTGCTAACTAATTAGACTAATCGCGCTTCAATAGACTCAAAATTAACGGAGATTGAGGCTAACACATGTGTCTATAATAGCTAGAATTTATAGAAATGTAACTCAAATCGTTCGCGCCATATGACAGTTAGACCACTTTCCTACCGGTCATAGCATAATAGCGTATGCGGCGGGTATGCAAAATGGAACGTGACGTCACTAATTCTTTTTTTTATCCTCCAATCACAGGTCGGAGCAATTCCTCTGTTTAGACGCATGTAATTATTATAAGCTCTTGATAAGTTGCATTGACATATGCAACGACATGCAGAAATTCTATGTACTTTATTTATTCACTCCAGGGCCTAGCTTAATTCACTATTACTACAGTTGGTTTCATTTAAGGTTAAAGATTCAAGATGTTTTCATAAATACGACAAAAATCCATTAAGTCCATTAGGAACTTGATCAATGAGGATCAACTTAGGATCAATGAGAATTCTCAGATAGCACTACTTTAGTTTCTAGTTCATTCCGCTTAGGCAATAGTTTTTAGTTTATTCTGCTCTTAGACAATTAAAATTAGACGATTAAATCTGTTAATCTCATTCAATAGAATCACTCCTCGCAGATTCCTACAAAGTAAAGAATTCACGAATCTCATCCAAAGCGACGTGCTGAAGCGATTCTTTACGTGGAATCCCATTATGGAGTACCTTACCTCTACGGAGCTCGTTCAATTTCTCCAGCACCCTGACTTTGTCCGCGACTACCAGTTCCAGAGCAACTACTTTGTGGATTACATCACCAGTCCGGAGCTTAGGCGGTAATAGTCTTTGTTACAGAAGGGTGTGGGTGTGTGTGTGTGTGTGTGTGTGTGTGTGTGTGTGTGTGTGTGTCGTGGTCGTGCGTGCGTGCGTGTGTGCGTCGTCGTGGCGTGTGTGTGTGTGTGTGTGTGTGTGTGTGTGTGTGTGTGTGTGTGTTGTTATGTCTGATGTTGTGTGGCGTCGGTGTGTGCGTGCGCGCGGTGTTGTAGGTAGCGCGTGTGTGAGAGCGATGTCTTTAGCCGATGTTATGTGCGTGTCGTATTGTGGGCTGCGTATGTGGCGTTGCCGCGTTAGCGTGCATGCGGTCGTGCTGTGTAGTCGTGTGTGTGTGCGCTGTTGTTGAGTTGCACTGTAGCGTATGTGTGTGTGGTGTATGGTGTGTTGTGCTGTGTGTGTGTGTTGTGTGTTGGTGTGTAAGTGTGTTGTGTGTGTTGTTGCTTTGTGTGGCAGGAGTACGTAATACATGTTTTGTCATCTATGTGGGTGCGAGATGATTCTCGTGTGTGTGTGGTCGTAGATGTGATGTTGTGCTGTTGTGTATGTATGTCGTCTCGTGTGTGTGGGTGCTAGTGTAGTTGCGTGTGATCTGCACACATATGATTGTGACATGTGTCTGTGTGTGTGCGTTTAGTTGACTGCGTGTGTCGTGCTGTTTGCGAGTTCGATGATGTGGTGTGTGGTGTGTGTGTGTGTGTCAGATGTGTGTTTAATTCCACTAAGATGTAACTCCTAGGCCTATGTTGAATGAGTGCGTAGCGACCCAACAACTATTAAGCAAGTCGGTATACATGCAAATTCGCCTATTCAATAATCAAGAAACATCTACTGCTAAACTATATGTGACGGAGTAGCTATCAACTTTTTTTAGTCATATGCTAACTAGAAACTAGATTGTTTAGAATTCATAACACTAATTGGCATGTTAGTATCAGAAACGGATACCTAACATGAGTTGTTCAGTGTTTGTAGAGAAACAATATGCCGTTAAAAAATGAACCAGTATTTCCTTATACCGTATTTCGACAGCAAACGATTAATTTCGTTTAATGGAATAATTGTATACTGGGTCATGCATAGAAATATCTAATATTCAAACATGTGCATACATAATATGTAAGCAATATTGCCCAGTAATTTTATAATATATTAATTATGCTTCGTACATTGCGAGAAAAAGAAGAATTTTCCCTGTCTATACTCCATGCAGCAAGCAGTCTAATCACCAACATGAATGTTTACGCGTGCCGCTCACGGTCTTGTATATATGGGTTTTGCAAACTCGAGAGACGTTTATATATCCCTTTTCTACTACATTATATGACATTAATGCTTACTGACTAATGTATGTGTCATTATATAATAATCGTTTTGTGCCGAGTGCTCAGCTAAACAGGCATGAATCGGCCTTTCTACAGGTACATAGCAGAACCACCTGAATCGAAGATTCGCTACGCCACCCCTTATTCAGAGCATTACTACACTACGTGACTTTTTCATGAATCACGTGGCAACAGGCACTTAACCAAATTTTGAGAACCAAAAACTGCAAAGAAATCTTCCAGGAGTTCACCTAAAATGAGAGAGACTGAATGTGTCCGTGTAAGTGTCTCGTAAACTTATTTTTTCTTAATATATATATATATAATATAGTATATATAATATAAATATATATATATATATATATATTATATATATTTATTTATATGATGATATTTTGATACATTGACAGAATACAACAAGCAGTGCACGCCATATTGTATTATGCTTAAAGAAGCTCCTTTCGGGTCATAAGCCTCTTAGAAAAAAAGCTTAAGCGAATGAGAACATACCAAAGTCTCATATATTTTATCATAAGCTATGTCGTTGTACTTTCTTAATTTCCGCTAGAACCCCTAGCAACATGAAATCGTGCTATCTTATAAAGTATTCGTGTTACCACTAATGCGGTAATTACCACCACAATGAGTTCAAAGTAAAACCTCTCAATAGGTACTACTACCATCAACAACCGTTCCTAGGGCGCTAATTGTTCAGTATCTAAAGAACGAAATCGCTGTGTGTAAATTTAGACATACGTGCATGCGATAGAATGTCAATTTAGATTTCTAATTATATTGTTTTTTGTATCTTCCAGCTGTTGACACCTCTAACAGTTACAAGAAGTACTTCATGTTGTACATTCTACACGATCCATACATGTACTACCACATGCACGAATTTGGAAAGCAGCAGAAGATGTACCCGGAGACCTTCAAAATGTTTACTCATATAGATGAGGTCTTTAAGTGGTTCGGCGATCACGACCTTAGCATTAAAGTTACCACCAGCGACAAAGTTCTTCTTACATTCCAGCCGAGCCAGCAGCTATACAGAGGCGAGGAATCGGAAAGCGAGTACAAAACAAACACGGATAGGGGGTTATTTCACTTAAAGCAGTATTTAATCAGTCACCCTCAGTTGCTGAAATTCATCCACGGTGGTATTCTCCCTGAACATCTCAGATCAAAGCTCATTGAGGATCTTTCTGGAAAGGTGCCAAACGGACTCCTTACCATCTTCAGAATGGAAGTCATTCCTGTCAGCGTGAAGCGAATGATTCTAAATTTAGTATATGAAGATAAAATGGCCTCAACGCAAGAAGAAACTGGCTGGGATAATATGGACGATACATCATATGACAAGAATAAGTTTTACCTGCGAAATGTGTTGCAGCAGTGTTTCCAGTACAACCCAGAAATTGTAGAATATCTCGAGCGTGGTCGCTTGCCAACACAGATGAAGTACCAACTTATTCAATGTCTATCAGACAAGGTACCAGAGATGTGGCTCCAACTGATCAAGATGGGAATGATCCCACCGAAGATGGAGGAGATCCTTCGTCGCTCTGTATACAATCAGGGAGATTACATGAGCCAGGAAAACACTGATTTGGATACCAACATGGATACCAGGTATGAACAAGTCGAAATGTTTGTCCACCCAGTTCTGAAGCAGTACCTGTTGACTCATCCACAGATACTAAACTACATCGATAAAGGCTACATTCCATCACACATTAAAGATCAAGTTCTTAACACGCTCGTGGGCAAGATTCCAGAGAAACAGCTAAACATCTTTAAGATGAACGTTATTCCCAGTTACCTGAAGCACATGATTCTCCGTTCGCTATACGAGAAGGAGACCGAATTGCTCAACCCGGAGAAAACTGGATGGGATATGTCTGAGTGATCTATCACTATCAGCGAGGTGATGCAGTGTGTACAGGTTTAAACCCGCAGTTTTTGGAACACATCCAACGCGACGTCGCCTGCAACGCGATGAGCAGTACCAACTTATTCAATGTCTATAGACAAGCTACAGAGATGGTGAGTCCACTGATCAACATGGATGATTCACACCTAGTATGGCGGGAATGCTTCGTCGCTTCTGTATTCTCAGGGCAGTATTATATGAGCCAGAGAAACACGATTTGAGATACCACATGGATAACAGGTATAAAGAGGGTCGAGATGTGTTGTCCACCCAGTTCTGAAGCATAACCTGTTGCTCGATCACAGATACTAAATAATCGATAAAGGCCCTACATTCCATCACAATTAAGATCAAGTCTAACAGCTGTGGGCAAGTTGCCAGGAGGAAAGGCCTAACATCTTTAGATGAACTGTATTCCAGTTACCTGAAGCCACATGTTCCCGTTGCTCTATACGACGAGGATACGAATTGCTCAACCGAGACAAACTGGATATGTATGATCTGAGGATACTATTCAGCTATCAATCGGGAAAGCAACGTGTGTCGTTTAACCGGAGGTTGTGAAATCATTCCAAACGCCTGGTGCTGCCAACACAGGATGAAGTACAAACCTATTTCAATGTCTATCAGACAAGGGTACCAGAGATGTGCTCCAATCGGATCAAGATGGAATGATTCCACGAAGATGGAGATGATGTTCGTCGCTCTGTATACAATCAGGCGAATATACATTGAGACAGGAAACACAGATTGTGGAGTAACCCACATGCGTATACCAGGTATGACAGTCGAAATGTTTCTATGGCACCCAGTTCTGAAGCAGTACCTGGTTGGCCTCAATCCACAGGATACTAAATACTACATCGTGCAAAAAGGTCATTCCCACAATTAAAGATCAAGTTCTTAACACCTGCTCGTGGGCAAGATTCCCAGAAACAGCTAAACATCTTTAGATGAACGTTATTCTCCAGTTACTGAAAGCACATGATTCTCCGTTCGCTATACGAGAAGGAGACCGAATTGCTCAACCCGGAGAAAACTGGATAGGATATGTCTGAGGATACTATCACCTATCATCGGGTAAAGCAGTGTGTCCAGTTTAACCCGGAGGTTGTGGAATACATCCAACGCGGTCGCTTGCCAACACAGATGAAGTACAAACTTATTCAATGTCTATCAGACAAGGTACCAGAGATGTGGCTCCAACTGATCAAGATGGGGATGATTCCACCTAAGATGAAGGAGATGCTTCTGCGTTCTATGTACGAGGAAAGAATGAATGCCAAACAGAAAAACATTGATTGGGATACCTTTATGGATACGAGGCATGAACAGATCGAGAGGTTTGTCCATCCAGTTCTGAAGCAGTACCTGTTGACACATCCACAGATACTGAAGTACATTCAAGAGGTTACATCCATCGTATATTAGATACCATGTCCTTAGAACTCTCGTGGACAAGATTCCGGAGGAACAGCTAAACATCTTTAAGATGAACGTTATTCCCAGTTACCTGAAGCACATGATTCTCCGTTCGGTTATCGCAGGAAGGAGACCGAATTGCTCAACCCGGAGAAAACTGGATGGGATATGTCTGAAGATACTACCACCTATCAGCGGGTGATGCAGTGTGTACAGTTTAACCCGCAGGTTTTGGAACACATCCAACGCGGTCGCTTGCCAACGCAGATGAAGTACCAACTTATTCAATGTCTATCAGACAAGGTACCAGAGATGTGGCTCCAACTGATCAAGATGGGAATGATTCCACCGAAGATGGAGGAGATGCTTCGTCGTTCTGTATACAATCAGGGAGATTATATGAGCCAGGAAAACACCGATTTCGATACCAACGTGGATACCAGGTATAAAGAGGTCGAGATGTTTGTCCACCCAGTTCTGAAGCAGTACCTGTTGACTCATCCACAGATACTAAACTACATCAAGCATGGTATTGTTCCAGAAAAGGTCAGACTAGAGCTTATCCAGCAACTCGATGGCAAGGTTCCAGATGAGTGGCTGAAAGTGTTCTCCATGAGATACATTCCTCTAAGCATGAAGAAAATCATCATTAAATCTTTCGATACGCAGGGAATGTAATGATTACGAGACCGCCTGCAAGAATTGGCTGAATTTGACCCCTACGTTGTCTTGGGTAATGAACAGGAATTAATTAGTTAGAACGCGATTAAACGCAGTCACTAGAGTAGATGAAATTCGCTAGCAGAGTATAATATGCAATGAATGTAGATATTGGCCCAAGGTCAATTTTGTTCTTAGAGTAACAAAATAATTAAAACCGGTTTTGCATTCGCAGTTATGTATACATATGCATATATCTGCGGTTCGCCAGACGAAACTAGCGGTAGGAAACATGGCCTGTACAATTACGTGACGAGACTGTCGTTGTTTAAAAATAACTGATCAATTGTTATACGAAATCGAGCAAGTTTTATTTTCACAATATAGACTTTTTAATATCGTGAGCAATAATAAGTTGTTGTTTTCTGTATTATTGTCGCATTTCAACGAAGTCAATTGCATGAAATCAGATGGCACTGGATAATTATTTCGTAATTTTTGCTCTCATCAAACACATCTTCATTTACACATGTATGCATGCGCATTATTTATATATTAATGCCTGCTGTTGGGGGCACTATGCTCTCATAGTGTTGCTGAGGGAAGGAATAGTGCCCGAGCGGTAGCGAGGGCACTATTCCTTCCCAAAGCAACACTATGAGAGCATAGTGCCCCCAACAGCAGGCATTAATGTTTTTAGTGCATCACATGACTATGCAATCTACTTTTCATGCGTATATACCGTCTTTATACTCCCTAATTTGCCGGTGCATTCGATGTAACAAAACGTTCGACACAAACACAACCGCCGTTCGAAATTACTCTTGCGTGGCGCCCAGACGCAGGAGATTCGTGACGTAAACACAATGCGTTATAATAACAATGCGTCGCGCAAGCGATAGTGCCCGCTCAGGCGGGCACTATCGCTTCATAGTGCCTGCTGCGTTATCCAATGAGATTGCAGCGATTTATCACGTCATGCACTAAAAGCTGTTATTTAACATGACTCGTTAACGAGATACAACGAGGATGTCATCGACAATGTTATAGGGTGTCAAACTTTGACTATAATGCCGTCACTCCCACTACTTATATAAAGGCTCTTACTAGAATCCAACAATCATAATTATATACCGTCTAATAATGCTCATCAAAATCCCTGCTCGACTGTGAAATTGCAGTCTAAACCCATTGTAAGAGATAGAATGAAATAATAAAAAGAATAAAAGTAATTAGCGCTAGTAGACTGGTTACAAAATATCAAACTCACAAATTATTGAAAATTTCCCGAGGCATTTATGGATAATTTATTTATTCATGTTTTTGCACCCTTTATGCGAAGAACGTGACCCAATGGCAAAAACTGAAATGTCGGGGTTTCTTTCTAAACTTTCATATCACTGCTAAACATTTGTTTCGCCTTCTACTTTGCCTGGTACGCGCACGAACGTGTCAACTGCCATCACATAGGATAAAATCTATCTATCTATCTATCTATCTATCTATCTATCTATCATCTATCCATTCATCTATCTATCCGTCCGTCCGTCCATTTACCAAACTACTTTTCCAGAAAAGACCTTAAGAATCGGTCTAGTTTAATATGCAAAAAAAAACACAATGTTATTTGCAAAACATTTACTGGTATAGCGATTTTGTTGTAATTCTAATTAGTAATAGTAATATGAAGCAATATAGAAATAGTAGAAGCATTTGAACGCATTCAGAAACATTCATGAGTGTAGCTTTGTATTACAAAATTTATTATTTACCGGGAGATATGAACTCGTCTATGTTGTATTGTCCG